ACTTGTAGGGCACCTTTCATCTTGGCTCCAACTTCACCCATATCACCCTAAGCAATCCTTCTTTGTGCATGGTTTATCTGATGCATATTAGGTAGTTGATATTGATGACAAAAGATTCACTTCTGCTTGTGCCATATTCCTTGGTCCCAACTTAATCTCTAGATGATCAAGGAAACAAAATGTGGCATCCACGTCTAGTGCAGAGACAGAGTACATAAGTCTTGCTCTCATTAATACTTTGACTAAGTCGCTCCTCCTCCAAAAAATCAAGGTTTACTCTATATTTACTGATTATTTGTGACAATGAAAGTGCAATATCTATGGCTCATATCCCTGTCCTTTGGGCTAGGAAAAAGCACATAGAATTTTATCTAGACCATGGTTTGGTGTATCGCAAAGGCTCAGAATCACCTTAACATGTTCAAGGTTTTCTTGACTCTGAATATGCAGGTGATTTGGATAGAAACAAAATCTTTTACTGACTATGTATTGTGTTCCCAGTGTTCAACAACAATAAGTTATAAATCTACACTTTAACACATAGTAACACATTAGCTTTGTCAACTAAATAGGCATAATATGTTGCTTTAGCTCAAGAAGCAACACATAGTCTGCTCATGATTTTGTTTCTGATACTAAATATAAAACTTAATATGGATAACAGACGAGTCTATCATTACAATGATACTTTACTTGAGAAAAAAACATTAGAGAGGAAAAAAGATAAGGAAATTATGAGATTCTTCATGATTCATAATTGAACCATGCGTGAAGATCAAGATGTATTTTAATCAAGAGACTGTTAGTAGTGGTGTAGTTGATACTTGATAGAAGATAGTTTTAAAGAGTTGTTTAGAAAGAAGGCTATGTCATTGATTTCTTGGATGATTCATTACAAGATACCAAATGCCTATTTATAGGCTCAAGTCACCAACCTCTCAATGGTGGTGAATTTTTCTACATTACTTTATATTTTTCTAGAGTTTTCATGATATGTTAGTATCATGATAGTTCTAGGTTCTTCTATCTTTTACATACACTTATAATTCTAGATTATTCTACCATACTCATAAACACTATAGTTTCTTGGGTATTCTACCATTACCATACATATTATATTTAGAATATTCTAGAAATTTGTAGAAACCAAAGATCTGTCCACTCTATCAGTGACAAAACTTGTGGGCTCTCTTAAAGCATATGAGCAAAGACTGTATAGGCATAAAGAAGATACACTTGAAAATGTCTTCTAGTCAAAGCTCAAATTTCATCCACAAATCAAAGAAAATGGAGGAAAGAAAATTTTTGGAGAAACTTTAAGAAGACGAGAAGGTTCTAGGAATTTCCTTAAGAACAAAACAGATAAAAATCCTCCATGCATTATATGCAAAAGACTGGGCCACGGAGAGAAAATTGTTGGTTCCATAATATGCCACAATGCAACCATTGCTAGAAGTTTGGGCACGTAGAGAAAATTGTCGCAACAAAAATAGGCATCAAGCTAATATCGCAGAGGAGAATGATCAAGAACAATGTATGTTATATGCCACTCAAGACTCAATCAAAGAAAAAGGAGGAAGTTGGTACTTGGATAGTGGATGTAGCAATCACATGGCCAAGGATGAGACTATTTTCAAAAGCATTGACGAGTTTGTCAAAGTCAAAGTTCGACTGGAAAATGGCAGTGTTGTTGAATCAAAAGGAATAGGCACTGTCATGGTGGAGACAGATAAAGGTACGCAACTCATCCATGATGTCTTACTAGTCCCTAACCTTAAAGAAAATCTTCTAAGCATTGGCCAAATGATGGAGAGGGGCTACACACTTCACTTTGAAGAAGGAGTACGCAAAATCTTAAACAACCAAAATAAAATGGCCAAGATAATCCAAGTGAAGATGAATAAGAGCAATAGAATCTTCCCGCTAAATTTAAAACATACAACTAACATTGCTATGAAGGTACAAGTTGATGATTCATGGCTCTGGCATCGAAGATTTGGCTACTTCAACACACATGTCTTAAAGTTGTTACATGAGAAGAACATGATGAGAGATTTTCCAAGCATAAAGGAGAACAATGAAGTGTGTGAAGGATGTCTCCTTGGTAAGAAACACTGACTTCCGTTCTCAACAAGCGGAGCATGGAGAGCAAAAGATATGTTGGAGCTAATTCATACTGATGTCTGTGGACCAATGAGGACGCCATCACACGAGAAAAACAGGTACTACATACTCTTCATTGATGACTTCTCTAGAATGACATGGGTCTATTTCCTAAAAGAAAAATCAGAAGTCTTTGGAGTATTCAAAAAGTTCAAGGCCCTTGTTGAAAATCAAAGTGGAAAACGGATAAAAGTACTAAGAAGTGATCACGACAAAGAATACACCTCCCGCGAGTTTGAAAGATTTTGTGAGGATGAAGGCATAGAGAGACAACTTACAGTTGCATATTCTCCTCAAAAAAATGGTGTATCTGAGAGAAAGAATCACACAGTTATGGAGATGGCTAGATCGATGCTCAAGGAGAAGGGACTTCCTAACATATTCTGGGATGAAACAGTCTACATTGCTGTTTACATACTTAACAGATGTCCAACTAAGTCAGTACAAGATAAGACTCCAATTGAAACTTGGAACAGGAAGAAGCCATCAGCAAAGCACCTAAGGGTCTTTGGTTCTATATGCTACATTCATATTCTAGACGTGAAGAGGCACAAGCTTGAAGAGAAAACTATACGAGGTATCTTTCTGGGGTATAGCACAATCTCTAAAGGCTACCGTGTCTACAACTTGCAAACTAAAAAACTCATCATCGGTCGAGATGTTAAAGTTGATGAGAATGCTTCTTGGAATTGGGATGAAGAAAAAGTGGAGAAGAACATCCTTATACCAGCTCAACTACCTCTAGAAGAATCTGAGAAATAAGGCTCAGGTGAACCTTCTTCACCTCCACCACAACAACATGATCAAGAATTATCATCACCATAGTCTACTCCAAGACGAGTAATATCTTTGATGGACATATATGAAACCTGTAACTTGGCAATACTTGAACCTGGAAGCTTTGAAGAAGCATCAAAGAAAGAAGTATGGGTCAAGGCAATGGAAGAAGAGATAAAGATGATCGAGAAAAACAACACATGGGAGTTAGTAAATCGTCCCCATGGAAAAGATATCATTGGGGTTAAGTGGGTCTATAAGAAAAAGCTCAACCCTGATGGCACCATACAGAAACACAAGGCAAGGTTAGTAGCTAAGGGTTACTTACAGCAACCTGGGATTGACTACAATGAAACATTTGCACCAATAGCTCGTCTTGATACCATTAGAGCTCTAATAGTTATTGCGGCACAAAGAGGGTGGAGTATCCAGCAACTAGATGTCAAATCATCCTTCTTCAATGGTGTACTTGAAGAAGAGATCTATGTGGAGCAGCCACAAGGATTCATTTCTGAAAGCGAAGAAAGGAAAGTGTTAAGACTAAGACAAGCACTTTACGGTTTGAAGCAAGCACCTCGAGCATGGTATAACAGAATTGATCAGTATTTCAAAGATCAAGGATTCAGGAGGAGCAAGAGTGAGCCTACACTTTACATCAAGTCTCAAGGTCAGTACACTCTCTTACTCTCTCTATATAGATGGCCTTATCTACACGGGAAACAATACCAAGATGATGATGGAGTTCAAAGAAGACATGATGAAGACCTTTGAGATGACCGACATTGGTTTGATGAGTTACTTCCTCGGTATAGAGGTAAGTCAGAGAAATGAATGGATATTCATCTCACAAAAGAAATACACAGAAGGCTTACTTAAGAAATTCAATATGTACGGTTGCAAACCTGTCGCTACTCCACTCATAACAAATGAGAAACTACAGAAGAATAATGGAACACCAGAAGCTGATGCATCCAAATATCGAAGTCTAATTGGAAACCTTCTATATTTGACAGCTACACGGCCAGACATAATGTATGTTATAAGTCTTCTATCAAGATTCATGTAAAGCCCAAGTCAAATACACTTTGGAGCAGGAAAAATAATTTTAAGGTATCTACAAGGAACAAAAGAGTTTGGTATATGGCACACTACCGAAACCAACTCAGGATTACTTGGCTACACCGATAGTGATTGGGCAGGTTCGGTAGATGACATGAAGAGCACCTCTGGCTATGCTTTCTCACTAGGATCGAGAATTTTCTTTTGGGCGTCGAAGAAGCAAGCTACAGTTGCACAATCAACAGCAGAAGCAGACTATGTGGCTGCTGTTGAAGCAACGAGTCAAGCTATATGGCTTCGGAAGATACTTGAAGACATGGGATAAAAATAAGATGAGCCTACTAAAATTAATTGTGACAACAAATCAGCAATTGCAATGGCGAAAAATCCAGTGCATCAGAGTAGAACAAAACACATAGCAATCAAGTATCACTTTATTAGAGAACCTGAAGCAACTAAGGAGATCAAACTCGACTACTGCAGAACAGAAGAACAAATTGCAGACATATTCACGAAGGCATTACCGAGACTAAGATTTGAAGAGCTGCGAACTATGCTTGGAGTTACAGAAATTTGCATTAAGGAGGAGTGTTGAAATTACTACAAATTTCTAGAATATTCTAAATATAATATGTATGGTAATGGTAGAATACCATAGAAACTATAATGTGTATGAGTATGGTAGAATAATCTAGAACTATAAGTGTATGTAAAAGATAGAAGAATCTAGAACTATCATGATACTAACATATCATGAAAACTCTAGAAAAATCTAAAGTAGTGTAGAAACATTCACTACCATTGAGAGGTTGGTGACTTGAGCCTATAAATAAATATTTGGTATCTTGTAATGTATCATCCAAGAAATCAATGACATAGCCTTCTTTCTAAACAACTCTCTAAAACTATCTTCTATCAACTATCAACTATCAACTAAACCACTACTGACAAATCACAAATAATTGACAATGCTTTTTATTATTTTCGTACATTATGACAGTATGAAAGCTGTTATCGAGCGCTATAACAAACAGAAAGAAGAACAACATCAGCTAATGGATCCTGCTTTAGAAGTCAAGGTAATTATTGCTATACTATTCGTCTTGTTCCAATTTTTCTCTAGTAATAACTGTTTAAACATATTTGAAATCTGTGTTTCTACTTGCTAGTTTTGGCAGACAGAAGCAGCTGGACTGAGACAACAACTGCAGTACTTGCAAGAAAGCCATAGGTGAATTAAATAATGAGCACATAGCAGTTGCATAATCATAACCTTTTTTGTAAAAGAAGATATTGATTTTTCGAAGTTCTCGTATAAGTTAAACCGACCGATTTTGTAAGAAAATGTATATTGTACTTTCTTTCGGGTAAAAAGCAGGCAATTGATGGGTGAAGGACTTTCTGGGTTGGGTATTAAAGAACTACAAAATCTGGAAAATCAACTGGAGATTAGTCTGAAGGGTGTTCGAATGAAAAAGGTATGTCGGGTATATTCGGATCAGTTTTAAGCATTTTACACCAAATTATCGACTGTTACAATGCTGTCTATTTCCCTGCAGGATCACATTTTGACTGATGAGATTAAAGAACTACACCAAAAGGTACTCGGAGTCTGGTTTTCTTGCTGTATTTGACAAGGCTTTCTCGAAAATTTCTGACCAATTTCCATTAATGCCATCGTAGGGAACTCTTGTCCATCAAGAAAATATGGAACTCCATAAAAAGATGGACTTCATCCAGAAAGAAAATGCCGAGCTACAAAAGAAGGTAAATGAACAAAATGTGGCATCCAATCTTTCATGCACTATCAGAAATGAGTATGATTTACATGCGCCTATCAGTCTCCAGCTAAGCCAGCCGCAGTCTCAATACAGTGAACCAGCAACCAAAAACATGAAATTAGGGTATTCCCTCCAACTAATAATGTATGGCATATAGATCCGGTGTACGCTATTTCTTTCTAATTTGTTTAGAAACTAAACACTTAAATTCTTTACCAGATTACAGCTGCATTCCTAACAAGCTGTCATGAACCAGTTCAAATATATAATCATGCTGCTTGTTATGTGTGGGATCTTGTAGTTCAACAGCCACATTGTTCAATTCAACAGAATAGGGTATTATGAAATTGTCTATCACGAAACTTAAAATAGGTGTTAAAGATCAGACATATTTTATGCAATAAGATATCAATGATTGTTGTGCATGGTATTGTTTTATAAAAATGATAGACAACAAGATATAAGGGTCTATTTGATTTCAAAAAATAGTTTCATTGTTATTCTCTTCTTTTGCATGTTAGCTACCTTATACTTTCAATGGGATACAAATTACAATAATATTAACACCTCTTTTGAATTTTGAGCTCAATATCAAGGGAGTTTCTATTTATTTAGAAGAAAGAATATGCAATGCTGCCGCATTATGTTTTTAATGATCCTTGTATCTTGACTGTTATTTTGGATGATTATCTCATCACTGACTCTTTTTGCTTTAAAAATATTATTGTTCCTATACAAAAGAGGATTGCAGGTGTCATATAGAAAAAATGATTATTTGACTTTCTACTGCCTCTTCACAAAATAATACAATTTCTATATGATATATAAAACTTGAGCATGCTTAATCTAAATGCATAAGCCCAAATTATATACAAAATACTAAAGAAAAAGATAAATGAACTTATTAATGTTAAAAACATACTATATGAGTGATAAAGATATTGTTAGTGCAAGGTAATGAAAGGGGAGAAGAAGAATGAGCAATGAATGATAACAAAGAGGATTACTATTGTATATCAAATAGAGGAATGAATGAGTTACAATATTGATAGCCTATGTAGAATATTTATACTAAAATTGAAAATGCCAAAAGGTCGTAATAAAGAATAAGCATTGGAAATTGTACATTAACTAAATTACATTTCCAATACCATCCCTTAATTTAGATATTCTATCAGAAACTAACAACACATATTTCATCTCTCAAATGAAGAAATTGATCTGTTTTAACTGCCTTTGTCAGAAGATCTGCAAGCTGTTTCTGAGTGCTACAGTGCAGAACTTCTAACACTCCTTTCTGCACTTGACTTCTGAGAAAGTGATACTTCGTCTTAATGTGCTTGCTTCTTCCATGTAGCACTGGATTCTTGGCAAAATTAATTGCAGACTTATTATCAATCATCAGCTTCAGAGGTTCCTCAACTTCAACCTTCAGATCATGCAGGAGATTCAGAAGCCAAACTGCTTGACAAGCCGCTACAGCACCTGCGATATACTCAGCTTCACATGTTGACAGAGCCACGACAGGCTATTTCTTGAAACTCCAGGAAATGGGACTTCCCAGAAATTTAAACAAGTATCCAGAAGTACTTCTCCTGTCCACTCTGTCTCCGCACCAGTAAGAATCAGAATAACTTACTAATTCTGACTTTGTCTTTCTTTCAGAAGGAAACAACACTCCATATCTCAGGGTTCCCTTGATATATCTCAGAATTCTGATAGCAGCTTGGAAATGAGACCACTCTGGATTACTCATGAATCTGCTAACCAATCCAACAGCATAACAAATGTCAGGTCTAGTATTACATAAATACCTTAGAGAACCAACCAATTTTTTGAAGGTTGTAGAATCAACAGAATCACCATCAGAGTCAGAATCCAATTTTTGATTGGTTTCTGATGGTGTCACAACAACTTTGCAATTTTGCAGCTTAAATCTCTTCAGAAGTTCTTGTTCGTATTTTAACTGATGCAGAATGATACCCTTCTTCGAGTACAGAATCTCCATCCCTAGGAAATATGTCATTTTTCCTAGATCTGTCATCTCGAACTCATTCATCAGAACTTCTTTGAACTTCTTTATATCTTCTGGGCAACTACATGTTAGCAAAATATCATCAACATAGAGACACACCAGAATCATATTGTTATCAGAGTGTTGTACATAAACTCCATATTCCATCTCACATTTCTGAAACCTCTGCTTCTTGAAAAACGAATCAATTTTCAGATTCCAAACTCTAGGCGCTTGCTTTAATCCATAGAGAGCTTTATTTAACCTGTATACCATCCCTTCCCGATTCTTTTTCACAAATCTAGGAGGTTGTGACACATTAACTTCTTCCTATAATGAACCGTTCAGAAATGCAGACTTCACATCCATATGCATTAAAGGCCAATTTTTGTTTGCAGCTAAAGCAATCACTAGTCTGATTATTTCATGCCTAGCTACAGGTGCAAACACCTCAAAGTAATCTAGCCCATATTTCTGAAGAAAACCTCTAGCTACTAGTCTAGCTTTGTGCTTTCCAATGGAACCATTTGGCTTAAGTTTCAACTTAAAAACCCATCTGACGCTGATGGCTTTTCTCTTATCTGGAAGTTTAGCCAATTTCCAAGTTTTGTTTCTTTCTATTGCCTCAAGTTCTTCTTTCATGGCATTAAGCCATTCTTTCTTCTTGAGAGCTTCTTCAATGCCCACTGGTTCAGAATCTACTAACATGACACACTGAACGATTTCTCCTTCAGAGTCAACTTCATTATCCTGCAACATGTAAAAATCTACAAACCTTCTTGGTTTTTGTCTTATTCTTTGCGGTCTTTGAGTTTGTTCTGAAGCTGCACCAGAACTACTACTTTCAGAATTACCACCTTCAGAGTTTTCCCTTCCAGAACTATGATCACCACCAGATTCTGGATCATCATCAGCATCTGGATCAGAATCAGATCCATTTCCAGAATTTTCTTCTGACTCATCTTCAGAATCTTCAGGATTTTCAGAATCAAATTCATCTTCTGAACTTTCTAAAACATCTTCAGGGGATAACTCTGGTGTTGGAACTACACTAGAATCTGATTGAGATTTGTTTCAATCCCATGTTTCAGACTCTTTCACCATAACGTATCTGCTGACTTCAACTTTATTAGTTTCTGGACAATAAAGCTTATACGCACCTGTACTGTGGTACCCCACCAGCAACATTACTTTGCTTCTATCATCCAGTTTTTGTCTTCTAGCTTCTGGAACGTGTTTGTAACAGACAGAGCCAAACACCTTCAGATGACTGATACTCTGCTTATCTCCAGTCCATTTCTCTAAAGGAACGGCTTCCTTCAGTTTCTTCGTTGGACACATGTTCAGAATATATGCTGATGTGGCAACAGCTTCTCCCCATAGCACGTGAGGTAGCTTTTTCTCATTCAGCATGCTTCTGGTCATATCAAGCAAAGTTTTGTTTCTTCTTTCAGCAAGACCGTTGTGATGAGGAGTATATGGAGAAGTAACCTCATGTTCTATTCCACTCTCCTCACAGAACTTCTGAAACACTGTAGAGTTATACTCACCTCCACCACCCGTTCTCAGAATTTTTAACTTCCGACCACTCTGCTTCTCAGCCTTCACTTTGAATTTCTGGAACTCAGTAAACACTTCATGCTTGAACTTGATGAGTGTTACCCATGTCATTCTTGTGAACTCATCCACAAAAGACACAAAATAATTGTTTCCTCCAAGTGAAGGTACTGGAAATGGTCCACACACATCAGAATGTACTACTCCCAGAGCATGCTTCACTCTGGGGGATACTTCTGATGTAAATGGCAATCTAGGTTGCTTGCCTTTCATGCATATCTCACATGACTTCTCAGGCTTCACAATCTTCGAAATACCATGTACAAGCTTCTTAAAACATAGATGCCCTAAGCTTCTATAGTTCAAATGCCCTAACCTCTTATGCCACAACTTACTGTTACCTTCAGTGACTTATGCACTAAGACACGTTGCTTCAGTTGTTTCTACATTTACCTTGAATGTTTGGTTGCCTCCTTGTTCAGACTTCATAATCAACTTCTGATTGGAATCATACAACGTCAGAAGATTGTTTTTCATAACAACTGAGAAACCTTTCTCAATCAGTTGTCCTACGCTCACCAGATTGCGTCTAATACCAGGAACATACCAAACGTCTTTGATCAGAATTTCTTTCCCATTCTTCACTCTGACTCTGATATCTCCCATACCTTCTGCATTAAGATACTTATCGTTAGCACATCTGATCTTTGTTCTCCTTCTGGAGTCAAAGTTTGTCAGCCATTGTTTGTTTCCAGTTAAATGATTTGAACAGCCAGTGTCCATATACCACCAATCTTCTGAGCATTTTCCATCAGAGTCAGAAGCCATTAGTAGTACAGGTTCATCATCAGAGTTTCTCTTGGCCATATATGCTTCTTATGATTTCCTTTCCTTGTTTAACCTACAATCTCTAGCAAAATGGCCAAATTGTTTACAAGAGTAACATTGAACCTTCCTTTTGTCATACCTCTCCTTTCCTTTATGATATTTCTTATCATCAGAAGTTGAGGCTTCTGACTTCTGGAATCTATCACCACGTCTATTCTTCTTCTGGTCTTTCTTGACAAAAGAAGCCTTCAGAGCTTGCTTAACTTCCCTCTCAGAAGTTCTCTCAGACAGACGTAACTCCTGTGCTTCTAAGCTGCTTTGCAATTCTTCTATTCTCATGGTTTCTAGATCTTTAGAATGTTCAATAGAAACAATAATGTAATCAAACTTAGGAGTAAGCGACCTCAGAATCTTCTCCATGATTACCTGTTCAGACAGAGTTTCTCCACACGCCTTCATCTCGTTAGTGATCAGAATCACTCTGGAGATATATTCAAAAACTTTCTCACTGCTCTTCATATTCAGGTTCTCATATTGCTTTCGTAGGGATTGAATCTTCACCTTCTTTACTGATGTGTCACCACCATAACATCTCACCAGTAAATCCCACACCCCTTTTGACGTTGTAGAGTCAACAATCTTCTCGAACACACTTTTATCCACACACTGATGGATATAGAACAAAGATTTCTGGTCCCTCTTCCTCATCATCCTCTCAGTAGTTCTCTATTCTTCAGTTGCATCTGCTGCAGCATGTACATAACTATATGTAACCAGATCCAGAACATCTTACGCACCAAATAGCACACACATTTGTATCATCCATCTGTTCCAGTTTT